ATATATATATATATATATATATATATATATATATATATATATATATATATATATATGAATTGGTTGGTAAGGTAATACCGTGGTATTTAAAATTTAATACTATTATCATACCAAGTTTACTGAATTGGTACGGACTGGTAACTAACTTTCTTGGTTCGGTTGGTAACATGCTGGTTGGTTCTCCGTGGTACATATTGACAGCCCTATCTCCGGCCATCGCTCCGAACGACCACTTCACCTCGCCCACACACTGAACGACACAAGCCACAACGGGAAAAAGTATGAACCAAACTATCATTTCCATCTCCGGCCGCGCCTGCATCTTCAGCCACAACTCCAGCCGGCCACACTAGACGGTGGCGACTCCACCTCCGTCCACTCCTCTAATCGGCGATTCCATTTCAGGTTCGATTTTGAACTCTATCTCAGCTTTGATTATAATACTTTCATTGTTGATTATGCCTTTTTTACGCATATTGAATACATATTTTTGAAATTTCATCTTCATTCCTTACTTGATTAAATTACAAGTTCGAACTTTCTTGCCTGTATTTGCGAGCTACTGTCTACATGAACTTGCTTGGTTAGATTTCAGAATTTGAGTTTGATTTTCTTATATTACTAATGTTGTCGAAATTTACATTGAACTTGCTTAGGTCAGATTTCAGAATTTGAGTTTGAGTTTATGATTGTATATTAATGATGTTATTTTTTGATTGTTGATCTTGTCTGATGTTGTGTTTTGAAATTGATTGCTGATATATGTTGTTTTGCTTGATTTATGATTACATATTAGGGATGGTATCATTGAAATTTACATATAACTGATGTTTTTTGATTGCTTCAATCTTATTGGTGTCTAGTTTCTGAATTTGAGTTTTAGTTTTTTATTATAACTAATGATATGTTTCTGTTTTTTATGTTGTTTTTGGTATATGGATGCTAACGTCAATTTGAACAATGAGGATTTCTACGCAATCTCTCAAGTTGTTGTGAGCAATGCAATAACGAGTAACAATGAAGCTGATGCTAAACGATAGGTTCGAAGAAGATGGCATCGGAGAAGAATATGATGAAGAATCTTTCAACAAATTTCAAGTACTTACAGGTATTGGTTACCAAATGAACTATACCAAATGTTTATTATTATTTTTTTTGTAAGTAGGAATTGTACGAAATAGTTTTATTTTAAGATGGTGCTTGTTGGTTTTATTTTAAGATGATGTTTGTACTTTGTTGGTTTAAATTCAAAAAAAAAATGTTGGTTTATATTCAAATAAATTGTGGGATAATAAAATAAATTGTTGGTTGTAATCATGATTGTAAAAAGAAATTGATAAACATTATTAGCAAAAAAAGTTATTAAAAAAAATTATATTAAGAAAACCTAAAAGTTTTAGATAAGTATACAATTTTGAAACTAAATACTTTTAAAATTTATACCGGTAAATATTTTTTTGAAAACACCATTTTGTTCAAGTTGGTTAAATAAGAAATTTAGTAATTTACCACGTATATAACCATTTACTCGTTGTGCACCAATGCCAACAATTTACCACCTACAGTTACGGCCTACGTCATCCCCATCTCCTTCCCCTCTCCAATCTCCAAAAAAACAAGAAACGTCTCCTCGCCTCTTTCCTGTCTACGCAGTGTTCTATAATAGGAAAGGAATCTTCCTTTCTTTCTCTCTCTAGAATCTAGAGAGAGAAAGGTGTGCGCCATGGGGGAGAAGGTACAGAATGATAAAGATGGCGTATCGTACGATACAAATACGACGCCCCGGGAAGGAGTCGTAGAGGGTATGCCTTTGTTTGCTAAAGAGCTGATCGCCGGTGGTGTCGCCGGAGGAGTCGCGAAGACAATTGTTGCTCCTCTTGAGCGCGTCAAGATCTTGTTTCAGGTATGCTTTTCGTCATCAATTCTGCTTCATAATTGCAGATCGTTGTCGGTGACAATTCACAATTTTGTTAACATCCGATGTGTTCAATTTCATTTTTTATTATGTTACTATCTAATTGTTCATAAATTTGGACGAAATTTTGATTCTAATATATTTAGACCCAGGTTGTGATGATGAATTTGCGGATTAATGGTAATTTCATGCTTTTGATTGCCAATTTTGACAATGCGATAAACAGAAACAGAAAATCCCCTTTTGTGAAGACAAATTGGACTTATATCACCTCCACACCTATTCATTAAATAACGAACACTTCCACCTCCATTTTTACATCAGGCCCCTGGTATTTAAAAACGTTTATTAATAAATGATCAGCATTTATAAATTTTTATATATACAAATGTTGTAATAGAAAGAGATGAAATTAAGACGCTACAAGACACAAATAAATGAAATCACATTCTTGTTTCTTCCATTTAGTAACAATCTTTTTACTCTTATATTACAATATTACAGACTAGAAGCGACTTTCACAATATAGGATTGTTAGCATCTTTTAGAAGGATTGCAAAGACAGAAGGCCTTTTCGGGTTTTACAGGTTGGAGAACAAACTTCTATCGACCAATTCGAACTCCAAAAACTTTTTCTTATTCTATTTAATCTAATGATATAGATATTTTTATTGTAATTTATATACTCAGAGGAAATGGAGCTAGTGTTGCGAGAATTGTTCCTTATGCAGCCTTACATTATATGGCATATGAACAATATAGAAGACATATTGACCATAACTTTCCTGGAATGGGAAGTGGTCCAGTTGTTGATCTGTTAGCAGGATCATTATCTGGAGGAACTGCTGTTCTTTTCACTTATCCACTTGATTTAGTTAGAACTAAATTGGCTTACCAGGTATACAATCATAATTCCCACAATTTTATTTTAAAAAATAGTTACATACTTTTTTAATATGCAATTAGCCATAGTTTGAGTGTCTAACTAGCCCAATCATTTTCATCTGATATGATAGTACAGGTTGTGGATACTCCCAAATTGAACATGAAAGAGGCCATGAGTAGCGAACATGCATTCAGAGGAATTAGGGATTGTTTTTCAAGAACTTATAGAGATGCTGGGATTAGAGGGTTGTATCGTGGTGTTGGTATGAATTTTTTTAATTTCTCATACAAAATAAGTTTTTTTTTTTTTTTTTTTTTTTTATAAAAATTGATTTTTTTTTTTGTAGCTCCATCACTCTATGGAATCTTTCCTTACTCGGGTTTGAAGTTTTACTTCTATGAGAAAATGAAAAGCCATGTCCCCGGTGATTACAGAAAAAACATGATGGTCAAACTTGCTTGTGGGTCCGTTGCTGGTTTACTTGGTCAAACTTTCACTTACCCTTTGGATGTTGTCAGACGCCAAATGCAGGTAATTGTTTAAATCTAGTATATGTATATGTATATAATCAAAGTATGAGAGTATCAAGAGTCAAGATACATGTTTGACTATTGTAGGTTCAACGTCTACATGGCTCAAGCTCACAACTGAAAGGAACAATGGGAACTCTTGTTATGATTGTCCAAAAAGAAGGATGGAAACATTTATTTTCAGGATTGAGCATCAACTATCTCAAGGTGAGATTGTTAATTACCCGAAAGGGCGAATTTGTAAAAAGTTAGGACTTAACAAGGAAATTTATTTATTTATTTTTTTATTTTTTTCAGGTGGTGCCATCAGTTGCAATTGGATTTACAGTCTATGATACTATGAAAGTATATTTAAAGGTCCCACCACGAGAAAAAGCTATTGTTGAAATGGCCACAAATAAAAGAGAGACCCAAACAACAACCTTGCCCTCATCACAATAATTACAACTTTAACCTGGTATTCTTTTTTCCAATTAGTTTTAAGGTAATTGAAAATTGTATATTTGATTCTTTTGTAATCTAGCCTAGGTTCTATTCCAATGTATAGGCACAACTATCCTATCCCCTCTTTGCAATGATTTGAGGGTGAGTTAATAATCCCTTAGATTGAGAATAATCCAGGGCTATATATATGTTACATGTCAATTTCCAAACAATGTACATAAAAAATAAGATTTGTAATTGTATATGTAACATCCATATTTGATATCTATATTTCAAGATAGTTAACTATGTTACATGTCAATATCCAAACAATGTGCATATAAAAGATTTACCAATAATCTCCACAAGAGCACATACCATCCTTAAAATGATGAAACCTTTTGTTGTCTCTTACAATGAGCTCCCTCCCAACAATCTTGGACATAATCTTGATAGCATTATGACAATCACCACATATCCTTAAATTCTTGATGATCCTAAGAGTTGTTCTTGCTGGAGTACTAATTAAACCATATGCAATTGCTAACCTTTCACTGTGGTGCATCAAGGCTTGTTCTTTAGCTTCTTGATCAATGTCATGAAGAACGTATCGGGTATCCGGAACATACCCTGCATCTCTCATTTGACCATTTAAACCGTTTAATTTCTTGTTTGAATCTTCTTTGTAAGGATCTGGATTTCTGTATTCATAGACTCTGTTCTTCTTCCCTTCAAGCATATTAGTTGCAGATTGATTAAGTAAAGGAATTTGATGTAACACAATTGATGGTTGAAGGAATGCTATGGCTCGATCTTCAAGCTCGATATCACCATGGATTCGAGCAGAATTCATCAATGATTCCCATATTTTGTATGTAGGTTTAATAGGAATGTTTTCAATGAACTCAAAAGCTTCGTTTAGATGCCCGGATTTCCCCAAAGCATCGATAACCCCTAGATAATGATCAATTTCTGGATCTAGATTGTAGTCGTTCTTCATTGATTTGAAGTGTTTGAAGCATTCTTGAATTGAATTAACACTGGCACATGCTGATAAAAGTAATCGGAAAGTCTCCTTGTTTGGAGTTAACTCCAGCTCTTTCATCTGGTCGTATAACAACAAACCTGCATCGGGTTCCCCGTTATCTGTGTAGCCCTTTATCATTGAATGCCATAAGTTTAAGTCATCTCGTTCACGCATTCTGTCGAACACCCTGCGTGCATCCCTCATGCTGTTGCATTTTATGTATAGACCTATCAATTTAGAGTTCAAATTCACAAAACCGTAGTACGGAGATCGAATAAGAAGCTGCTGGACCTTCTTCCCCAGTTCAAGATCGTCACATGAATCCAAAACAAGCTCGAAAACATCGGAACCTGCTGGCACACCTTGAGACATAAATTCAATCGTTTCTTTAATCGAGCCATTTTTGCATAGCGTCATTAAATCCACATCCGGTGGCGGAGATGGGGCGGTGTGTTTTTGTTTTGAGTTGTTTTTGGGAAGAGGTGGTGGTTTTGTGGATGTGTTGAGGCGGCGATTGGTGGTGCGTGTGGTGGCATCGTTTCGGGATGCGGTGCAGAGGGATTTGGGAGTAGGATTTGGAAGGTGAAATGGAAATTTGAGGTTGGTCTGTTTTGGTATGCCAAATTTGAATTCAATAGAAGAGAGAGATGACGCCATTGGAGAGCACGAGCTCTGGTTAGACCGTTAAACCAGATAGATGATAAAGGAGGAAGAAAATATCTACAGGTCGTTGTCGTTTTATACTTATATTTTTTGTACATGAGGGGTGGCCACTCGTTTTAGTTGTTTTATATTCATAAACTAACATTTACCAAGTAATTGTTAAATAAAAAACTTATATACACAAAATCAGAATTAATATCTGAAAATGAATTTCTTGTTTAATCAATTTCATTGAAACCTAATATCATCAAAGAAAAATTTTGAACTTTGTATTAGGTTTTATTTGAGTGTCCATTTAAAGTGATTATTGTAACTTCAAATTGTAAAAATTACTTTATACCATTCATTGAAATCGAATTTGATTCTTAATTATTTGTTATAAGATGATCAGGTTTGAAAAAACATATAATCGATTGTTGTAAATAACAAGTATTAATATAGTATAAGTTTATTCAACTATCTATAACTTTATCGGCTAGCTATTTCATTAAATGGTTTTAAATATGTTCAACGACAAAATTTTGAGAACTTTCAATTTTTATCTTGGAAGAAAAAAACTTGAATTTTGGTTTAGTTTAAAACTTTTAGTTTAAACAAGGTCAGATAACTAGTAACTTTTTGTTTTAGTATTTGTGCAATTTTACGGATTTTAAAATACTAAAGCTAATTTTACTAAACAATTTTACACAAATAAAAACTAGATTCAATTTTACAAATTTCAAAATACTAAATCTAATTTTACCAAACAAATTTACACAAATAAAACTTATGACTATTTGCTATTACCAAAGATACTCCTAATAGTAAAAGCTCCCATCATCACTTTGGAAAACCATATGTCCAAGCACCCCCACAATATTTATACATTTGGCTAGCAGCCTAGCAACCATCCAAATAGTTCTGTAAGTTCTAACCAAAAAATAATTATTAGACATTCTAATTTCTATATGCATGATACACGTCTTGTATCAACAAACATTTTGAACCTTATTAACCAATTCAGACAAGTCCACAAACCATTAAGACATATTCAGATAGTGTAATCAGACCACTCAGATATAAACGAAGTATGATCCATAGACATCCCCGGGCATTCATCAAGCTTTGACGCCTCTTTCCCTTCCACCACCCTCGCCGGATTCCCAACCGCAGTGGCTCGTGGCGGCACTTCAATCAGAACCACCGACCCCGCACCAATCTTTGCTCCGGCGCCAATCTTCACGTTCCCCAAAATCGTCGCTCCGGCACCAATCAACACCCCGTCTCCGATCTTCGGGTGGCGGTCGCCGCCTGCTTTTCCAGTCCCACCAAGAGTCACGTGGTGGAGCATTGAAACATTGTCACCAATAACTGCGGTCTCACCCACAACGACACCTGTCGCGTGGTCGAACAATATTCCCTTCCCGAGCTTAGCACCCGGGTGGATGTCAATTGCAAAGACATCGGAGATTCGGGATTGGAGGGCTAGGGCAAGTGGTTTTCGGGATTGAGTCCATAGTTTATGAGACACCCGATGAGCCTAATCAAATGAGAAAAACAAGTTATTAACAAAAAGTGGTTGCAATGTATCCCTGAGCATGAGCAGTTGCAATTTTGGGAGTTTCAATTCATAAGGGCCCAATATACATAATAATATACATTTGGCAAACTGTTGTGGTCGGCTAAAAGGTTGCTGGAAATTTTTATTTTTTTTTCTTTTAGAATGTAGTATATTTCGGAATACTTCTCTAAGCATAAACGAGTAATCTGTAAACGAATTTGTTATTTTTGAATCGTCATACACATTTTAATTTAATACAACAATAGTAAAACACAAAAATGAAAGTGCTTCACATAAATAATCACGATCTGAAAGCAAAAGTTGATTTAGGTTCTTTGCTATTAACCCTATATAACTAATCATAATCTTTTGAAGTGTACTCTCTCCAAAAAATGTAATAAAGTCCTTGAAGTTTGGCTCTATTAACGAAAAGCCATTTCTGAATTTCTTTTGTTGAAGTTTAGCCCAAAAAACCGGTAAACACTTGCAAAAAAAATCATTGTTCCTGGCTAATGCCGGTTTTCAAGGCTTTCTGAAAATTTTAAAAACTAGTCTGAAAATAAACAATTAGATATGGTTTTTTCGTTAATAGGGTTAAAGTTTAAAGACTTTTTGAAAAAATTATCTTTTTATATCTACTAAATTAATGAAGAAAACTCATATTTATTCATTAAAAAACTAAAAAAAATATCATCTACATCATTTTCACTAAAAAAATCATATTTATTCATTAGAAAACTAAAAAAATCATTTTCACTAAAAAATCATTTTTATTTATTTAAAAAAAAATATCATCTACATGAGTTCATTTTAAAGAACAAAATATGAAATTCTAAATATTTGAGAAGTTTGAACTTATAAGAAAAAATAGAAAAATATTGAATTATTGAAATTAAATTGTTTGTTTTTCTTTTAACTTAAACAAATAATTTGATAAATAAACAAAGGAAACTAATCAAACTTTAATTTAGAAATTTTGAAATTAGAAGGAAGTCAATTAATGAAATTGATATGCAATTATTATTACATTTATTGTAATTATTACATTTAAATATTATGTGAAATTAATAAAATGAAAAAAACCACAAAATGTCATGTGGAAAAAAAAATTAGTTGAAAATAACCACAAAATGACATGTGACCAAATCAATGAGATTGTGACATGTGGCAAAAAAAAATTTATTTATTAGGGAGGGTATTCATGTCGTGGATGTGAAAAAGAAGTGACTTGGGTGTAAAGAATGACAATCAAGAGAGTTTCTACTTTTTTAGAAGTTACAAAATTAAGTTCAAGTTGTTCTACAATACATAACTTAAATGACAATATGGTTAAATGGTTGCAAAGAACGTTATAAGAACTACAATAGTTATAAAAACACAAGCTAAAAATGATATATAGTTAGCATCAGTAGCGGAACCAGAAGCCTTTGCAAGGGATATCAAAAAAAATTCCGATAAAAGATTATAAGATAAACTTTTTTTTTTAATTAAGATTCCATTAATTATAAAAGCTTTAAACATTTTCATTGTCACTTTCACCAAAATACAATTCCATTATTGCATTAGTTATAAAAAAAATTACGATTTCATCAATTAGCTTTAGGTTTTCAATTTGCTACCATGCGTTTTGTGATGAAATGTAGCGGGCTATTAATTACACCATCTATTGCTAATTCCAAAGTACATCTTTCTTTTCATTTTGTGGGCTTATTAATTTATTTAGTGGACGGTTATTTGAATTAGGATCTAGAATTTGGACTTTTTATTAAGCCTATAAACTTGACCTATAAACTTGACCTTTGTGCACCATTTGGTCTAGAAATACGTTTCATACGACAAATCAATAAAGTCTTTTTAAATTATAAATTATATATGATAACTACAATTATTAAGATATATATATGAGTTTTCTTCATTAATTTAATAGATATAAAAAGAAAATTTTCAAAAAAATTCTTAAACTTTAACTATATAACGAAAAAACCATTCTGATTGTTTATTTTCAGAAAAGTCCTTAAAATTTTCAGAAAAAACCCTAAAAACCGGCATTAGCCGGGAACAAGGATTTTTGTGAAGTGTTTACCTGTTTTTTTGGATAAATTGCAAATAATAATAATAATAATAATAAATAAAACTAAAAAAAGCAGGATGGTTTTTCCATTAGTAGAGCCAAAGTTCATAGACTTTATTACGGATTTCATAAAAAATGTAAAAAGTATAAAAAGATAATCAACTTTAATCAATTTCTTTTTCCAAAACAAAAGGCTAAAGTCTCCCAACTTTTGTTAAGGTCAAGAAGCTTAAATAAGTAAAGTAACTTTCAACTATTTCTATTTTGGTCGACAGTTTTGTCGGAGAAAACTAATTCTAAACTATATACACTTAATTAAGAATATCGTATATTAAGCTGGTTTGCCCGAGAGGTTAAGGGGGAAGACTTAAGATCTTCTGCACATAAGTGCGCATGGGTTCGAACCCCATAGCCAGCAATAATTTTTATATTTTTATGGATTACTACAAGTAAAATCAAATGACCATTCATTATTGTAAGTGGTTACATCATCAAATGAACATTCTTAGATTATCGATTACCAAAATTTAAAATCAATTTTTTTATAAGCTTTGGAAGTTATTTTTTTAAGTGATTACCATAAAATGATCAATCTTGATTATCTTTTTGCAATTCGTATTAAATATTGTAAAATTCAAGAGAAACCGAACCTGGCAAGCAAGGAAGCCTTTGTAATTGAGTAGGCAATGAGAGAACGAAACGCAAGCAGGGTCACGGGACCTGGCGGCGCGTAAGTCCGCGACGGCAGCTGATCGGAGGTCAGGGTCGCCGGAGAACGCGTTGAGGAAGAGATCGTAGAGCAGAGTTGACAGCAACGTGGAGGAACAAAGCTTATTACCTAGGTGGAAAGAGAGTGAGCGATCCAGGGAGGAGTGAGAGAGTATGGTGGAATATAAGTAGCTAGCCAACGCCGGTTCCGACTCGGCGTCGCGGCGGGCCTCCGCCTTGATCTCTGCCCATACCCACTGTGCCTCATCCGCCGCATCCGACTGCGATGGGTGTCGGGATTCACCTACTGGCATTGATTACAACACGACGTCGCTTTTGCAAATCTATTGAGAATTTATTGTTTCTAACAATGGCGTTCGGAGGAATAGAGACGATAGAGGGCGATTTTTTCAGATTTATTTTTGGACAATTAAATTGAGATAATGAAGTATACACGTGGACGGTTTAGATTGCTGTCTATATACCCACAAAAAAATGGGTTTAATTAGTATGTTTCATTTAAATTGACATATTATTCAATGATGATGATGATGATGATGATATCTGGATAGGAAACAAATTGATATGCATGGATAAAAAATATTAGTATATAAAATTGACATGCATAAATAAAAATGTTGTATATAAATTAGTTTTTGTGAGATTTCGATTCAATTTATGCGGCTCTAAAACAGCTCGAAAAAATATTTTTTGACAATTTAT